AGTTTCAGTCAGCGCATTGTTCATATAAGTAAATAATGGAAGCAACACAGGTTCCTTTTGATTAAACCCAATAATGAAGTATCAGAGCAGAAGTGCAGTGATTCTGACTCTGCAATCTCTTCTTCTTTAATCCTGGCTCATTCTGTCCAACCCAGTAAGACCATAACGCATTAAAACGGCAACAACAACACGAAAACACTGCATGTCAGCAAACGTCCTCAGCTGAGGAAGTGCAGTGGGCAGGATAATCCTCGTGTGAAGCTTATACATGAAGTAAATACATGGGCTCACTTCCTTTTTCAACAACAACACTGGGCCTGTTTAAAAGCTCTGTCTGGTTGGTTTGTCCATACTTGCAGCTTAGTTAAAGATCACTTTAAAGTGGGTGGATACAGAAAAGTCTTTCCATGTTTGCCTCTCAATCATACAGCGTCACGAGCTGGGAGAGAAGGAAAGGAAGCAACTTACACTCGCGACATCTCGGAAAAACTGCCTGGAGTCTCCCAGGCCAGCAGTGGACAGGATGGGGGCGCTGGCGGCCAGAGCTCCAGCCACTACGTTTGGATATTTGAGTCTCATATAAACTGACAACATCCCACCATAACTGCAGGAGCAGATACAATAAACAACAGATCAGCATATATCATAAAGAAGACTCACACATGCCAGAATTGTAAATACCTGTGTGTTTAAACTTGTCAACTTATTATTCGTTGATCATTTTACACTTCAGGAACACACAGAGGTTACTGAAGCTTGCACTCTGCGGCTCCTGTTAGATCTGGTGTCTGATTCCCAAACACTATTTATCCTGGAAATGTCTTTTAGTAACCTTACACTGTCAGAACAGAGAAGCTTGTTTCATTGCAGGCTGCTGCTTTAGTTCAGTGCGTGAGCAGCTGGGTTCAAGCCTGACCCTTGACCTTTGCTGCATGTCTTAACCACATTTCCTGTCCATCTCTACTTAATATCCAATTAAAAAAATTATTTTAAGAATGAGTAAAAATCTAATTAAAGCAAGTTATTAGAAATTGGAATCAAAAGTTGTTATGTCTAGGGGCAGGATATACACATTCATTTAAACCGGCTTTAACAGGCTTTGTTGAATATGCCCAAATATTAAAGTAAAGAAATAAATACCTACAGTGTAAAGCACAGCTAAAGGCAAGTCACACAAGCAGAGAACAATGATGTCGGTGTGAGTTAGGGGCATCGTACCTGCCACCGAACACGATGACTGGACAGTCTGTGGCTCCCAGCTGCTGTTTCAGCTCAGTGATCATGATGGCGTAGTCAGCCAGGGCTTGCTCCACCGTCAGCAGGCTGATCTGAGGTATGTTGAAGGAGTCTTTCTCAAATGGTAGCGATTTGCCGTAGTACCTCTGTTAGACAGAAACAAGCAAACAAGAAGTTCAAGCTTTAAGCAACAATCAGAAGACGGGCAGCCACGGTCCAGCTGCTGCAGCTCACAGGTCCAGCATGAGGACGTCCTCCTACATCCTCATGCGTTACTCTAGCTTCAGCTTTACTCTACTTGCCTTTTTGTTACACGAGGTGCAAATAGTCTTGAGCCACTAATAGACTGGTCACAAACACTGTCTGAGTTGTAAAAGAATCTTCTTACATGCTCAGCAAATATGACCAGCGCCCTCTGCTGTGCAGCCAGCTCTGTGATGAATCCAGAATTCAGGGCAAATTCCCAGATGTCTCCTTCATTGCCAGTGTAGAAGAAGATGGGTCCAAAGCCTTTTTCCCAGTACTGATCTAAGAGGACAGGAGAGACCGATATTACGGATCACTTGCTGCTGAAATAATCTTATATTATTAACAGGGAACTACATTCACCTGTGATCAGGTAGCGCTGATTAAATGTCCCATTTCCCATACTGTTGAAGTTGAAGTGATCCAGAGTCTGAGTGAAAAACTTCTCTGTGAACCGTGGATCTGCGTCATGATGCTGTCGTGACTACAAAAAGGAATGAAATGCATAAAGATCAAGACTTTAAACAGGAGTGTCATTTTACATTGTGAATTATTGTTACTGGTTTGTGCACAAACTGGTAACTTTTTTCCTCAATCAGGCATTTAATGGTCATTTCAAATCCATGTCTGATATCTGTAGTATGGAAACCATCTAGATAGAAAATGGGTATTCTCACCAGTGACAACTATAACAATAATAATAATAATAATAATAATAATAATAATAATAATAATGGATTGCATTTATATAGCACTTTTCGAGACCCTCAGAGCGCTTTACAACACCACTGTTCATTCACTCTCACATGGAGGCAGCTACAGGTGTAGCCACAGCTGCCCTGGGGCAGACTGACAGAGGTGAGGCTGCCATATCGCGCCATCGGCCCCTCTGGCCATCACCAGCAGGCGGGAGGTGAAGCGTGTTGCCCAAGGACACAACGACCAAGACTGTCCGAGCCGGGGCTCGAACCAGCAACCTTCCGATCACAAGACGAACTGCCAACTCTTGAGCCACGATCGAATATCTGAATAATTTTCAGATATTTTAATTATTAAATGAAAACTTACAACAGTTATAATTGGGAACTGAGAAGCATATAAACCTGTAGGCTCCAGTCCACACACCACAAACAAATCCCTGTTGAAGCTCAAGCTGTGCTGGGCCGAAGTCAACAAAACACTCAGCTTTATCACTCTGGGCTCTTGGCGTTCCCAACGTTCCCAACGTTCCCATGCTGTCTGTAGAGTATAACCCAGCTGTCCTGGGATGGAGCCTCCACTTTACCATTGCGCCTCATCCTTTAAAAGTAATGTGCATGTGCACGATGTAGACTGCGCTGCTATTCTCCTCCTCTGACACACAAACGGAAATCAACTGATTTCACAAAAACCAATAAGTGGGATCAATAAGAAATCCAAGGAACTGGTTCTTGGTTCCCATCCCTAGTTTTAATAGAGTTTAACTATTTAATGATAAAATATCAGTAGTTGTAATTAAATTACAGATATCTACAACAGACACTTACATTGGTGAGAATAACAAAAATTAAGAACCAACTACTGAGAAATTAGGAGTTTTTATTTAATCATGAATATCTTTCCTTGGAAATTTGCTGTGGGCACAAATCCAATTATTGGCATTAGTAAATCCATGTTTGCCGACTATTTCCTGTGGAAAATAAACCAGGTCTGCTAAAAACCATCGTAGTGTGACTTTCGCCCTTCTTCAAATCTGTGAACACTCAGAGAATTTCATGTTTAACTGCAGAACCACAACATAGCAGGGAAGCAATTATTGCTGACTCTGCAACATTGCTCAGTTACAAAAAATAAAGTCTCTAATTTTTTATGGTAGTTTCATTATAAGAGAGAGAGACAGAAAAACACATCACATAAGCAACACCAGCTGATTGTGTTCATCTGGACGTTTCGTCATCATCAGCTGACGTCTTCAGTCTCAGCTGACTGCAGGTTTCCAACCTTAGAAACAGGACGTTTGCACAGTGACTGAAACCAGCAGCACTGAATGAACACTGGGTTGGGAGGTCAGCTTATGATCATTCATAATTTGGGTGTTGGTCTTCCCGAGTTTTTATATGACGTTGTCAATCACAGAGTCAATCTAAAGCAAAAATATTGCCATGAATTATTGTAACGGTGCAGGTCGCTCAAAATAAACGATGGAGCATGAAATGACGTTTTAATATTTGACCGCACAGCTTCAGCAATTCATGAAAATGAAACCATGAAAATCAGCGCCTGAGCAAACTTACAACATCAGGTGTTCACCTGACTTTCCGGCTGTAGTTTAAAAACGCGCTTTACATGAACACAGACCGGAGCAGCCAGTTTGGCTAACTGGATCACGAGACTCTGGCCGGAAGTAACACATGATGAAAACATTGTGTCACGTTACCTGCAAATACGTGTGCGGCAGACTGTGCAGCACGTCAACACACAAGACGAGCGCCACGGAGGACAAAATGAATCTCATGTCCACGGATGTCACCAAAATCACGTCACAGTACAACTGGCCAGAAAGTCCTTTAGTTTTTAAATTCCCGACTACGCCTGCGTCGCACGTCATATGATCCAACGTCGCAGTGATGTGTTTAAGTGCCTTCTTGAATAAGTCGGAATTTTCAGGTTCACAGTCCCGTACCCGAGTACGCGGAAACAAATCTCCGAGAATACGTTTGTTCTTTGTAGAAGTAACATGACAAGATTTAACACGTATAAAAACACTCTCTCAAAATACTCTAAATACTCTTCTACTCTAGTTAGTATCTGCATTAAAATTACCTGACAGCAAAATGAAAATAAACAAAAATGTCACCGTATACATGGTACCGTGAAAGAGTCTTGAGACACCTCTCAGTGTTGTGGTTAAATATTTCTGCTTGAGAAATGGGAAAAATATTGACTTACTGACAGCTCTAAAGAGATTAAAAGTCAATATTTGGCGTGACCAACAGGGCCTGAATTCTCTTTAGTAAGTTTCTTTATAGTTTCTTGAATTTATCCAACATTTCTCGAAGCTTTTCCGAGTAGATTCTTTGGGAATTGATGATTTTTCTTCTGTTATCTGTTAGGATGATCTCATGCTGATTGAATAATGCCGAAATCCAGGTTGTGGGAGGTTAATCTATGACTCACAGCTACATTGTGTATTTTCTGTGCAGGTTTTTTTCTGCATTGAGAGGTTTCTAGATCATTTTCTTGCTGAAAAATTACACACCTGAAAAACCAAAAAACTGCAGATTGCTGTAGATCTTCACGTCTTACTGACGGGAAGAAATATGTGGTTTCTCCCTTAAAGTGACTTTTTTTGTTTCCTGTTCCTGACTTTTACATACTGATGATGATTTTCTCAGATAATTTAGGATGTCCAATGCAGAGATATCCTAAACTTCCCTCACTTTTAGCAGCAGCAGCAACTGCAACAAAGTGCTTACATATTTCTTTAATGGGCAGGGCCATGATAAGACTCGTGGTGCACATAAACAGTAAAACACAACCAGTGCAGCCGGTTGACCCAGTAAGGTATGAATAAAAAAGTCATCCTTTTCCTTGTTTTGCAGCTTTATGGCAGTTTTTAATGCCTCTGTTAGCTTTCTATTGTGCAGAGCTGTGATTTCTGGAAAACAGATGACTTTGTCTCCTCGTTTCCTTCTGTGAAATATTTCAGGTAAAGGTAGGTCAAAGGTCAGTGTGAATAGATTCAGCTCAGAACTGCTTGGAGATATAATGTAAGCTACACCATAGTTATAGGTGCGTAATATGATATGACTGTAAACACTGGACAATGTGAGGTATTTCATTGTTAGTTTAATGATCAGACATTGAGCCTCAGAGAGACCAGCTGTATAAATGAAAGCAAACATAAATCCACTGACTCAGACTTATAAATGATATATGACTAGAATCAGGACATAATGTCAAACAGGTATGCGTAAATCATGGGCAATTCATGTATTTTGTAACGGCCGTTCTTACGGTACGTGCAGCGTTAACAGGTGAATTCCACAGTCATTGTGCCACTGTGGCTTTTATCTCAGGAATGTGAATAGAGAACCTCTTTGTTGCAGCTGGGTGGAGACTTCTGAGGAGACCAGTATGTCTTACTCACACTTCCCTGTGAGCACAGACAGGTCCAGAGGACGAGAGACCAACACTGACAGAACTCACAGCAGCCGCTCATTCAGGAACAAAAGGTAAGCAGCAGTCTGAGTGTGGAGTGATATTTCAGAGAGAAGCATTTAAACTTGTGTGAAGTGAAGTAAGCAGCACAGGCAAACAGGCACTGCATATGGTACAAGGAAGTATTCCAGGAAAATTGTGCTGAATGTTACAGATCAGTGAACTTTCTCTCCAGCTGCATCTTTTCCTTCTTTTTGCTGTGTTCGATATATTCTGTATTTCTCTAATACCTGTCTAATTGTCTTCCTGTTTTACATCACCGTACTCTTCTCCATCAGACTACTTCTTTCTTTCCTGCCTTAAACATCCTTTCATTGATCCTTTTACATTTCACCCCAGCTGTCATAGGGCGAGAGGCACCAGTCTGTTACTGAACTAACACAGAGACAACCATCTGTGCTCACATTCACACCAGTTTCTCTTCAGCCTGACAGAAGTTCCTATTGTTCTTAACACAAAGAGTTATTATTGTCATCGATATTCCGAAAATGTGGGAATAATGACAAAATCTTCAGACTTGCTCTCACTGAAGTGTAACACATTTTAGAGCGACCAACATTTACTGTCAGTAAGATAAACCCTCACAAATATATATGAGAGCCTCAAACAACACCATGATAGGATGAAGGCAGGCACACACACACACACACACACACACACACACACACACACACACACACACACACACACACACACACACACACACACACACCTCTATATATATATCTTATATGTCTACACCTATTTTTAATGTAATGCACCAATATGAGACATAAATATTGTGTTTGCACAACGAGAGTCTAAAAGTGACATTTGTTATCAGATTTTAAGGGTTTCCTGTTTTGTTCGTATTGGGTCAAAAAAGAAAAATTAGAATATGTATAAATTATTTTTCTATGCATGAATAACTTTATAACCGCATTAAGTAACTGTGATAAAATCATCTGCTTTGAGAGTAAACACGGAAATGCAAAAAAATCAAATCAAATGTCACCTGTTGACATCAGAGTGTCTCTGTCTTGTATTTCCACTCCTGGCTTACAGGATGCTTTACACTGAGTTACTGCAACTGTGGCAAAATTCGGTCGAGGCTGTGGATGCGAAGGACTGGCCAACAGCTCTGGCCAAACTCAATGAGATCAGTGAGCCCACTTCTCGCACGCTGTTTAATACGGCCTCATGTTACCTGGCCCTGGGGCAGCTGGATTTGGCCTTGAAGGTGAGTCACTCCAAATGATTGAAATGGAAACGTCTATAATCTTTAACCAGTGGCTGTCAGGGATTACTGCTTATTTCACAAACGCTGTCAAATCAGGAAACATCCTGGACTTTCCAGGTTGTAAATGAGCAAACTGAGCATTGTATGTGGATCATTGGTGTGTGTGTGTGTGTGTGTGTGTGTTTGAGAGAGAGAGAGATAAAGAGAAGGAGTGAAGATGAAGAAAAACATACAAAGAAGGTCAATAAAAAGCTGTACATGCATTATTATTTACTGTATCACTCGTGAGTATACACACACGTACAGTAAAGCTTTGATGTCGTCTTTCCCCTCTCTGCTATCCAGGCTTTAGACTTAACCATTGCTAAGGATGAACGCCTTGCTGTCGCCTTCTTCCAGCGAGGAGCAGTGATGATGGAGATGGGCAGGTAAGAAGGACCATTTCAAACTAACTCGTAGTCTGTGTACATATTACTATTTCTCAAAAAGACGCTGTGTAAACAAGATGTGATGATTTATATACGAGAGAGTCAGACTGACAGAAGGCTACGCTTCCAGGAGCACTCACCCAGTAATAAATCCTGATTATTCAGCTAAAGTCCGAACAGGTCAGTCCATCTGAGTGCTAACACAAAGAGACAAACAATATTTACTTTTTAATATGATGGATTATTAATAAGATTTAAATGAGAGCTAAACATAAAATCTGGTAATAGTTGCTAACACTCGACTTCATGACAACTTAAGATTTTGCCCAATAAATGTGAACAAAGAGGCAGAGAACAGGATGTGCCGAAATACACAATTTAAATACACAAAAATAACCAAAAATCATATAATTCATCCATCATATGCAGTACGCCATATGTTAATTCACTAAATACATTAAAGAGTGTATTATGAGGTGTATGGGAGACGGCCTGTGGACCATTGTGGTGGAAAGCTGGAACAGGCAATAAAACTATTGTGAAATTTTCCTTTGTACTGATACACCAGAGACCCACAGGTGTGGGAGGTGGGCTGGGATTAGTTCCTGGCAACTCATTTCTGAGTCGACCAACTGAGGAAAAAACATCTAAAACTAAGAAACAGAGATTACGTTAAATTTGAAAACAGCTTATTGGAAAATCTGAAAAACTAAAAGAACATTTACGTCATTCTTCACTAATGAATACTAAATAATAAATAA